TGCGCACACATGAAACCCATCTCTACTTATTATACATATATGAATATTATAAAGTTTAAGCGTGTAATAAATAAGGCACCGTTTTACTAGTAATAATTACCATCCTTATTATTTGTGACAAGTTTGTAGTATTTACTGACACTTTCTGCATTTGTTAACCTATTCCGTGGTAACTGTGCAGAAAATCACCTGCATATGACGTAAAATGCGTTATTATGACGGCATAGTATTATAGCCATGCAGAAATATTGCAAATAAAATAAAGGAAGAGCCGTAATAATATTAAGCTTGTAAGTGAATTTCAATTAGGATCTGAAATCGGAAGCTACGTAATTTTGAGCATTCTTTCCAAAATGCTGTCACATGATGATTTACAATATGGCTAATTAATGACCCATGGCTTAACCAAAGGAAACGTGCTTACTTAATTTTAAACTAGTTTATCCTATTTTTAGACTGTGAATTAATTATAAATATGATCTATTTTTCTTCGTGTTAATTTTAGATACTATGATTTTTAAATCCAAATATCCAGATTTTGAAATCCCAAAAATAGGGATATATCAATATGTAACCGCTAATCCAAATAATATTTCAGATAATAAGCCTATATTTGTTGATGGGATTACCGACGAAAAGGCTACTTTCGGCGAATTAAAAAGAAACTCGAGAAGATTCGCTGCTGGATTACAAGACAAAATTGGATTTAAACATCATGATATATTGGGAATCATCTCTCCTAATCATGTACAATTTTATCTTATCATTATTATTATTTAATTATTCAAATTTAATTAAGCAATGCTTTTTCATGTAGATTGATTATCCAGTTGTTGTTTTTGGCGTGTTTGCGGCTGGTAAGTTAATTAATTAGAAATAAGCTAATCTCTACAGAAGTCTAGATACTTAAGCAGTAACGTGATGTGGTTCGTAAGGAAATGACCAATCGAAGGTGTAGGCTCTACAAAATCAAAACCATGTACAAGAGAAAAAGAGAGAAATAATAAAAATAACGAAAAACCGGCGTTTAAATCGGTCTTTGAGTACTCATAAAAAATGTTAGATCGTAATTTTACATATAATAATTATTTAGCACCTTAATATAAAGTCAAAAAAAAGTTTATTTGAATGTGCCACGTCACGTAACCTTAAAGATTATAAGCTAAGAGATTGTGATTTGAAATTTCTATAAATGAAATTTAGGCGGAAAAGTAACAACAGTAAATCCAAAGTGCACAGCAAGTGATATCGCATTTCAATTAATCGATTCGGGTGTTTCGGTTATAATTGTACATCCTGAATGTCTTAACACTGTCATTAAAGCCGCTAAAGAAGCTAGAATTTCCGAATCAAGGATTTTTTTGCTTAGCGATAGAGAAATTCACGGACATCAATCTCATCGTTCACTTATCAGTGATCGTGAAGCAGATCCTGTTTTGTATTCGCCGGAGGAAGCTATGAATACAACCGCATTCATATGCTATAGCTCTGGAACTACTGGGAAGCAAAAAGGTGTTGAAATCACACATACAAATGTTATAGCTAGTATAACACAAATTATCCCATTCAGTTCTTTTAAAACTCGTAATGTCTTTATTGGAGTATTGGTAAATATTTATCACAAAAAGTTTGTTATTTAAAGAAAAAATTAATTGCTAATATCAATTTTCTTTTCTACAGCCGTTCTTCCATATATACGGATTGGTTTTTATCGTTAATTTAGTTCCAGTTTTGGTAAGCTTGTAATGGTGAAAGAAACGGGTTATTAGTCAAACACTTATACGGTATCAATCAATTTAAAGGGTGCTTCCGCGATCGTTCTTTCCAGCTTTAATTTGGAGACATTTTGTCGCTGTATTCAAAAATATAAAGCTAACTTTATTTATGCAGTTCCACCGATTATACATGCATTAGTCAAATATCCCTCTATCGAGAATATGTCAAGTGTGAAAATTGTATTTTCTGGTGCAGCCCCCTTAAGTAAAGGATTGATCGATGATTTTTATAATCTTTATAAAGTACCAATTCAACAAGGATATGGTAATATTTCCAAGTTTTATACTTTTTCATTTTTATAAATCTCAATTTTGAAATTTATTATTAATTTATTAAGGACTTACTGAGTCGACCTCAATAATAACGTTATGTGAGGAAGAGAGAATTGTCTCAGGTATTAAATCGTAGCTAATTGTAATTTATGTTAATTTATGTCACTTAAAAACGATAAATATTTTTTATAACTAGGTTCTTGTGGAGTCCTTATTCCGAATTTACAAATTAAAATATTATCGGAAGACCAGCATGGTAGAGTTAAGATTGTTAAATAGTTATACTTTAATTAATTAATTAATAGCTTAATAAATATCTATTATTTAATATTTTCAGAATTAGGATATGATGAACCTGGCGAATTATGTGTTCGTGGACCAAATATAATGAAGGTAATGTCAAAAATAAATGAAATTGTATTAATTTTAATGTCTTAAAAAAATTTTTTTTAAATATAAAATAGGGATACCTTAATAATAAACAAGCTACAGATGCGACGATTGATAATGATGGATTTTTTCACACTGGAGACGTTGCAGTTGTTGATCGTCAAGGTGATTTAAAGAGTTTTATACATATTGCTTTTTTATAGTAAATTAACCTTTTTTTTGAAATAAGGGAATTTTTTTATCGTGGATCGCATCAAGGAATTAATCAAATACAAGGTGTTATAAAGTTTAATTCATACATGTTAGAATAGTATAATATGCTAATTTTTCGAATAATGTTATATAATAAGGGATTCCAAGTGGCACCAGCTGAGCTTGAATCAGTTTTATCCACACATCCGGCAGTATTGGATGCAGCGGTGGTGGCATCCTTTTCTGAAAAAGATTCAACCGAATATCCAATTGCTTTCATTGTTCTTAACCCTAAATACGAAAAAACCTTGAGTATATCAAAAGAAATACAAAAATATGTAGATGATAAAGTAGCTCCACACAAGAAATTAAGAGGCGGTGTGATATTTGTAGACTCCATACCAAAAAGCGAATCAGGCAAAATTTTGAGAAGAGTTTTAAGGGATAAATTAAAGAATGGTGATGTGAAATTTATTCAGCAAAGCTCTCTTTAAGGAGAACGTTATAGAACATTAATGCGGTTATTTGATTTATTGATCACATTTACGTAGTACGCACGTACGTAATTATATGTATTGTACCTGTGTCCCCTTAAAATTTTTATCGATATACTTTTTATTGCCTGATTAAAATCAAAACATAAATAAATAGAATATATTCGGCATATTTATTATATTTGAAAATGTTAGGTTAAAATAGACCTACAAGTTTTTCCCGTAATTTTAGCTACTTCCAAAAGTTGTAAAACCCTGCCACCAAATAAGGATCCCAGAGATCGGTATTACAATAACATGTATAGTATAGTTGGCTAAAGGTGTATAGTATATAGTATACTACAATAAGTATAATGCTAAATTTATACATTATACATTTTGTAATAAAGCTAATAAAAAAATCATACGTTTAGTATAAAGTAGAATAAAAAATTTATACAGTTTAGTATTGAGTATATTAAAAATTTATATATACATATATATATCAAAAAAAAAAAAATTAGTCGTATTGCGTATTTAGTTGAATTGGCCTTTAATATCCAAAGTAGCATATGAATTTGATGTCTCATGTGACCTTTAGAACATGTGTCAGAATAGATAATCATAAGTTGGAACTGAGTGTGTAATTAATTAATAAGGATATTAGTAATTCGGAAGTGAGTGTGATAATTGATCATAATATACATAAAAAAAAGGTTGAATATATGGAAAATAAGTAAAAAGATATTGATTTTCTTAATGAATAAATAATGAATAAATAATAAAATAGTCTTTTGTTGACATATTGTCGTATCTAAAGTTACCATCTATCTGAAGTTGACCTGACTAAAATTAAGCCCATGAATTAGATCTTCATACATATAATTCTGGTTAGGTACAACTTAATATACCTAAAGTTGCAACTTCAGATAGATAGTAACTTTAGATATGACTTTTTGTCATCATGAATAAATACCTAAAATTTAGTAAATTACATTATTTAAATAAAGTAAAAGTATATTAATTGAATATTTGCAGTTAAAATGCGAAGCTCTATAAACTAAGCTAGATAATACCTTTTTCTAATTAACCCAAATACTAGTTTGAACTA